TAGCGTATCACTTCAACTAGTTCGAAACTGTCCTTTACGTTATATCTGGCCATACGATCTCAAAATGGTTTCAACAACTGTGACAACCATTTTCCCGGCTTCCGTTGTGATGAAGTGATCATCGATAATTTAGTTCTGAGTGGAATTACAGGCTTGTGTGTCTTAGGGATGCCTTAAAGTGATGAATCGGACTTGAACACCGGAAGTTCAACTTGAAGAACATAATTTGATGAATTTTACATGTTTACCGTGGAGGATTCAATTTTCCAGTTGATGTCAAATAGGATAGTTGATCGAAAGGTGATTGTGATATATGTCCTGTGGTTTCTCAACCCCTGAACCTACTCTAAAAACAACAACCTGAGTTTCTATAAGGTTATAGTCTGGGGATGACGAATCGGGGTTTGTTAATGCCTATCAGGTTGAAAGCTACTCAGTACAGCGGTAAAAGGAATGTTTCTACTCGTTTAGAGTTTTGATCCGACGGCGTCTCGCAAACAGTCGCGAGGCATAAACATTCCAGGGATTCCTTATTCGAAGTATTTTATCGTATAGATAATAATTGTTTGGATTAGCCCATTCGGTTTTTCACAGGCACCAGGCACTGTTGATGCTGACGAGTCCCAAACACGATAAAACAGCTGTCCAGTGCTCTTTGTCGGTGATCACAAACAATTCCATAGCAATTAAAATATTTTAAGGTATTTTGAACCGACGGGTGTCACATGGTGATTATCGAGTTATACTACTTGTAAGTAGCGTCGGTAAAGTGTGCGAAATACTGTGCTCCGTTCTTGTTTTACAGGTGTTCGGAAAAGAATCACAGTTCAAGGAAATAATTAAAACTGGTATCATCAAAAGCAATGAGTAGATTACAGTAAACAATGAAAATTAGGGTAATTCATGTCTTTCATGTTTCTTTTCAACCAATGATCAAATAAAAACAGAAATATTGAGATTTTAAACATTTTATTACAACACTGAGGGATGCGACCTTATGAGTCCGGTGCTCAGAAATTTAAGCTGCAGAAAGATAACCTCAGTAATATAAGTCTTACGATTCTCAAATAATATTTGCCGGTTGGAACTACAGACCAAGTCGGATGTTCTGTAATATTTTCGACTGGAATTTCGCATTTCCATATGTGTTGTTCATTTTGATTTTCCTCTGCGGATAACGAGTTTGCTTTCAAAAAACGGTCACTTCCTAAAATTACGTTTTCAGTTTTCATTCCGCGAAATGAACAACAATCAAAAGTCTTCAGTCGAATCAGTTCATCCAAGAGATCACTCAACAGGAGTTTTATCTCTGGTTAATTCTAGTAAAAAAGTAATATAAACCTTTTTCTAACATCATTTTCAAACTGAGTAAGATTCTTCTCGTTGACCTAGCAGTCCTGCTCGTCTGAGACTGATTTTATGTATCTATTTTAGTAACTTCATAATTCCGCTTAAGCAGCACTGTCTTTTTCCCAGGGTGAAATTGGGAAAAATCTTATACGAAGAAACCTGGCTCAATTAAGCCGATCAATAAAATCAACTCCACCAATATCATCATCGTCATTACTGTCTTGTTTTGCCAGTTCACATTGGTTGCGGTGGTTCAGCTAAATCAAGACACATGTGTTGAATGGCATTACATCAGGTGTTGCGTTATACTAAAAGCCCCAGCGAAGCATGTACTGCCCTTCAACGCTAAACAACCCTGAAATCGGCCCTATCGGTCCCACATACACACACACACCTTAAATCTCAAGGTGTTCTTGGCATGTGGTTATCCCAGATATTCCCGTATTCTGGAGACAGTTTTTGTGCCTGTCACTATGCTGCCCCTGCCCCCCCCTCCCTCTCCCCACGCATGTTTCACACATACACACACACATTGCGGTGCTTGTACCGGTGGCTGGGTGTTTGTTCGTTACACACACACACACATGTGTACACAGTATTATTATTCTCGTGGT